GGTGTCTAGATGGTGGTCTTTAGTAAAGCTTGTAATTGCTTATTTGTGTTTAACGCTATGTTTATAAAATATATTTGTTGATGTGTTTTGATTGTCTCTCTATTATCCCGTTGGATTACATGTTGTATGGAGAGTTCGTTTTGCTTCCATTTACACTATTCGTTAGCGTTCGGTTTGGGTCGGCGACAAATACTGGGATGTCGCATACTTGACGACCTCGGAGGAATGTTGGCGCGTTCCCGAGGTTCAGGGCGTGACTGATTGTCACTACTTTAATTATTTATTGAGTTCAATCAAATTATTAAATTGAATAGCTTTGAACCAAGAATAACATAATTAGACCATTTGAAGGGGTGGAAAGTTAAAGGACTTTATCATCAAGGCCCGCCACATGATCAAGACAAATTGATTGGAAAAAAAGAAAACTGGGCAAAATAAAAGATAAAGCTGATGTTGATTTTGTTGTTGCTGAGGATTTCACGTGCTCATACGTTCATGAGTGCTGTAGGAGGTGAAGACTGGTTCACCAAAAACAGAGAGAAGACCCAAACTCACGAGCCGCACTACTTTCGGAGTGAAAATTTCACAAAAGAAGAAGAAAAAAACAGAAATTACTTTGGGAAGAAAAAGCTCCATTGAGCCAGAGGACGAGAGGCTTGCGAGGAGCATCTGCTTGTGCTTCAAAGAACAGGTAGAAGAAAAGGTGAATTATACGTGAATTTACGTATCAATATTTACAAATTGCGAAACTTCTAAACATTTCGAGTTGAGAAAAAGTGAAAGTCCGTCCAACCCAAAATGTATATGAAGCAAAAAGGAAAAAGTAAAGGTCTATTCGAGTAATTTTTATTAAACTACATTATCTTCATATGGACATTATAATTGTACTGAAGGGGTTGGTTAAGGGATTTCGTTGGTGCTGAGATGGTCTGAACTCAATTTCCTAATTTCCCAAATCAAATCCTAATCCCCAAAATCTCTAAGCTACAGCCCTAATCCCCGCATTTCCTTAATTGCCATATTAAAATAAACTGGTCCAATCAAGTTCAGGTGGGTCAGCGCCATGCCTTTCACTTTCCCCATAGTCATTGTCCTGACAAGTACAGGATCGCCGCCGTGTTCGATTGTGAGACATCGATTCAGTCGGAAACGTTGGTTCGAGTTACCGCTGTCGTCAGGAACTCCAACTCCAGCGTGTCGATGAGAACCGTTCTCAGCGGTGCTGGTAGGATTGGAGGGACAGACCCCAACGCTAATGAAGAACAGACAGGTCGAGGATCGGAATGTGGAGCGAATTAGGGGAGATGATTAGGGCAGAGTCACCTCTGGAGAGGCCGAGGCAGGAGCGAAAAGAGAGGCCAAAGACCGGAACCGGCGACGATTTTTCCTTTTTTTGTTTTTGTCCGAATGATGACTAGCGATTGAGTCCCATCGTTGGGTGCTATTTACTGTTTGGAAAAGGAAAACATATCATTATCTTTGCAATATGTCGCCAATCACCAAAAAAAAAAAAAGAATAAAATTGTTCACGAAAGGCCCCATTCGCGGAAAACGCTGTCCAGCTATAAAAGGCATTGGCCTCCACTGAGGAGCTTCAGGAATGATGATATTCCATCATCTATAAGTATGTCATCAGTCTTGTTAACATTACGACAGACCTAAACCATCTCCCACCTCCTAAAACCATCCATCCCCCCAAAATCATGGTTTCTTCCTTACTGCTATCCAAGTTCCAACCTGTCTCCTCTACGAGTCTTTTGCTTCTTCTTCTCGCTCTTCTTGGTTGACACCACTTCATTTCATGGGGTAGGAGTTTTTGCTTCCTCCATTCCTTTTTCCACTATCCACGCGACCGAGAATAAGGATGAAGCAGAGACTCTCCTGAATTGGAAATTTACTCTTGACAACCATAGCCAATCTCTCCTCTCTTCCTGGCATGGCGACAATCCTTGCAATTTTACTAGTGTCGCTTGCAACGGCTTTGGAGCCATCACCCATCTAACTCTTTCCAATCTCAGTTTGAGAGGAACTCTGAGAAAAATGATAGATAGTCATTGGATGCTCTTATTATTATTATTTTTTACGCGTTACTGTATTTTATATGGTCATTACAATAAGGCAAGTAAGATTATGAGTTACTGACTTCTTTCAATAAAGCATAGAAGTATAGATAATCATTGGGCAGGCCGAAATTGAGGTTTGAGCTAAATTTTTTACCTAAATCCGTCCATCATGAAATTTTACGTTTACAAAGCTTGGGCCCAATGGGTGTAACATGACAGATTCTATGACTCACGAGGAACTAGGCCCAGGAAGACCGAAAGGAGTAAGTCAAGGACTTGTCAAGAAAAGGAAAAAAAGGAAACAACAGCTTAAAAAGATTGAGGACATTATTGTAGCACGATGACTCCTTCCCATTGGATCCACGATTTTTCAATACTTCAATAATTGAGTTCGATTAGGTTCGATTGTCCAAGACGGATGTCGACAGAACTCAATTAGAAAGTAAATTTATTCGTAACTCGAGCTCAGATGCTAAAAATACTATAAATTTTAGAAAAAAAATACTATTTTTATCTATTACTAATATTGACAAACGTGAATTCGATAATTGCTATTATTCATTGAATTGTTACGTTGTTGAATAGATACTTAAAGCTCAACCCTTGCCCAATTACGTATTTTTTTGAATACTCAAACTCGATAAGTGTATACTTACGAGTTAACCAGAAAAATCTTGCAAGTTACTTGACTCTTTTTCAATCGTATCTGTGACCTCTTCGCTATGTATCTTCGGAAGATTATTATAAGATAAGCATGGACAGATGCAGCATGCAATTGATTTAATTTCTTTGTGCTATAATGTCGTGCTATAATCTTGAGTGGAAATGAGAACAATGTAAAAAGAGCAGAGCTGGACGACGGCAACCGTGTCTTCTATTGTTCTTGCTTACGGGCATATTGCATCATATTTCGTTACTTAAATACGAAGTAAGGTCAATTTAATTACGCTATTGAGTCTCTTTCTTCCCTTCGGTGGAGTCTGCCTGGGGTGCCCATCACCCGAATCTTGTCTAAGCTAATCTATCATATTATTCACATTTGAGAGGGCGATCGATATTTCGATTAAATGTTTCTTTTATCTATTTATATCCACACCATCTACTTTTTAAATCCACAAGCTACCCATTAGCTAAAAAAAGATTAAAAAAAAAAGAAAAAGAAAAATGACCTATTAGTCTTATAGAATTGAGGGAGTTTGGTCTTTAACTGCCAAAGTTTGGGCCCATCACGTGAAACATGATGTGAATCCATGACTCACGAGGAGGAGCTAGACCCACAAATACTGCAAAAGTAAGTCAAGAACCTATAGGTTGATAATAGATAAAAAGGTGACAATAACTTAAAATAATTGAGGACATTATAGCACGATAACTCCTTTCAATTGGATACGTGATTGTCACCTACTTTAATAATTGAGTTCAGTCATTATTAAATTGAATAGCTTTGAACTAACAATAACATAATTAGACCATTTGAAGGGGTGGAATTCAAAAGGAGGTGAAAAAGTTAAAAGGACTATATGATCAAGGCCCTCCACGTGATTAAGACAAATTGATTGGAAAAAAAGAAAATTGGGGCAAAAGAAAGATAAAGCTGATTTTGATTTTGTTGTTCATGAGCGTTTGAGGGGGTTAAAACTGGTTTACCAAAAACAGAGAGGAGACCCAAATTCATGAGTCGCACTACTTTCGGAATATAAATTTCTCGCTAGGAATTTCGTAAAAAAAACGTAAATTACTTTGGGAAGACAGATCTCCATTGAGCCAGAAGACGAGAGGCTTGCGAGGAGCATCTGCTTGTTCTTCAAGGAACCAGTAGAAGAAAAGGTGAATTATACGCGAATTTACGCATCAATATCTATAAATTGTGAAATTCTGAACGTTTCGGGTTAAGAAAAGGTGAAAGTGTGTCCAACCCGAAATATATATGAAGTAAAGAGCAAAACATAAATGTCTATTCAAGTGGCTTTAATTAAACTACATGATCCTCAGGACATTATAATTGTACGTAGATTTAAACCGAAGTGGTTGATTAAGGGATTTCGATTGGTGCTTTGTAGTTTTTGGATACGTGAGTACGAATGAAACATACTTTTTTTCGTTTGTTCTGTCCATGAAAAGAATCAACATAGTTGCCGCAAATAATAGAGAAAAACTGATATCAAAGTTTGCATTTTTTCCTTAATCCTGGCTTTTCTGCACCACAAGGCCAAAATCAGGAATTCCCACGCTGCTTGTTTTAATTTTTGTCTGAAATGGTCTGAACACAATTTCCTAAGTTCCCAAATCAAATCCTAATCCCCAAATTCTCTAAGCTATAACCCTAATCCCCGCATTCTCCCAATTGCCATATTGAACTAAACTGGTCCAATCAAGTTCTGGTGGTTCAGCGCCATGCCTTTCACTTTCCCCATATTCGTCGTCCACGACCGGTACAGAATCGCCGCCTTGTCCGGTTGTGAGACATTGATTCAGTCGGAAATGCCGGTTTGAGTCACTGCTGTCGTTAGGGACTCGAACTCCGGCGAGTCAACGATAACCGTTTCGAGCGGGGAACAGAGAGGCCAAAGACCAGACTCGGCAACAACTTCTCCTTTTCTTTTCTTTTTTGTTCAAATGATGACTGGCGATTGAGTCTCATCGTTGGGTACTATTTACTGTTTGAAAAAGGAAAAGATATTTATTATTTTTGCAATGTATCGTCAATCTCAAAAATAGAATAAAATTGTTCACAACAGGCCCCAATTGCGGGAAAACGCTGTCCAGCTATAAAAGGCATTGGCCTCGACCGAGGAGCTTCAAGAACGATGATGTTCCATCATCTATAAGTGTGTCATCAGTCTTGTTAACATTACGTAGACCTGAACCATCTCGCACCTCCCACCTCCCAAAAACCTTCCATCCCTCCCTCCCCCAACCCACCCCCCCTCCCCAAAATCATGGTTTCTTCCTTACTACTATCCAACCCGTCTCCTCTACGAGTCTTATGCTTCTTCTTCTCGCTCTTCTTGGTCTTGGTCGACACCACTTCATTTCATGGGGCAGGCGTTTGTGCTTCCTCCACTTCTTTTTCTACTATCCACGCGACCGAGAGTAAGGATGGAGCAGAGGCTCTCCTGAATTGGAAATCCACTCTCGACAACCATAGCCAGTCTCTCCTCTCTTCATGGCACGGCGAAAATCCTTGCGGCTTTATTGGTGTCACTTGCAACGACTTCGGAGTCATCATCCATCTAAATCTTTCCTCTCTTGGTTTGAGAGGAACTCTAGACAACCTTGACTTCTCGTGCTTAACCAATTTGGTTAGCTTTGAACTTGGCAACAACTCGATCTATGGTTCCATTCCCTCGAGTATCGGTAACCTTTCCAAACTCAACTCTCTTGGTCTTTGCTTCAATGAACTGTCTGGGAACATTCCTCCAAGCATAGGTATGCTGGAGAGTCTTCATTTTTTGCGTCTATGTGTAAACAACCTGAGTGGACACATCCCTCAAGAAATAGGGAAGATGATATCTTTGGAACGGTTAATTTTGTCTGAAAATGGCTTGGCCGGACCAATCCCTACATCTCTTGGAAAATTGGGCAACTTAACCAGATTACGCATTTCAAAAAATATTCTTTTTGGTTCCATTCCACAAGAAATATGCGACTTGAGGAGCTTGAAGTATCTTAGCTTGCGGCGAAATAGATTGTCAGGACCCATTCCCTCAGAAATAGGGAAGCTCACTTCTCTTACAATTTTACGAGTATCTTTTAATAATTTGACCGGTCCAATCCCTGCATCAGTTGGAAGCTTGTCCAATTTGACTGTATTACAACTTGATGACAACAAACTATTTGGCTTCTTGCCTTTTGAATTTAATAAGTTAACACGTTTGACTAATTTGGGTCTATCTAATAATGAGCTCGAGGGGGAACTGCCGGAAGATGTGTGCCGTGGGAGATCACTGCAATATTTCGCTGCCTTCAATAATCATTTCACGGGTCCCACCCCAGCAAGCTTAGAGAACTGTAGCACATTGATCAGATTGAGGCTAGAAGGAAATCAACTTACCGGAAACATAACAGAAGCTTTTGGAGTATATCAACATCTATATTTTATTGACTTAAGCCACAATCATTTGAACGGCGAACTTTCGTGGAAATGGGAGCATTGTCGTAATTTGACAAGCTTAAGGATATCAAACAACAACATTTCTGGTGAGATACCTGCAATATTTGGAAGGATGGCTAAGCTACAAGAAGTGAACCTTTCTTCAAATAATTTAAGCGGAGAGATTCCAAGCGAATTGGGAAGCCTGTCAATGCTGTTTAAACTTGATTTAAGCAGCAACTCAATTATGGGAAAGGTACCGACTGAGATTGGACTTTTATCTCATCTAGCACATCTGAACTTGGCATCAAACAATTTGAGTGGATCGATACCACTACAGCTAGGCTCATGCAAAAGCTTGTTGAGCTTGAACTTGAGCAGAAACAAATTGTGGAGAAGCATTCCTCCTGAGATAGGCCACGCACAATTCCTTGAGATTGTTGACTTGAGTCATAATTTGTTGATTGGAAACATACCGGAAGTACTTGGACAGTTGAGAATGCTGCAAGTTCTAAATATCTCCCATAATAGCCTTTCCGGTTCTATTCCACATACTTTTGGTGATATGTTAGCCTTAACTTCCGTAGATTTATCCTACAATAACCTGGAAGGTCCTCTCCCAAATGTAAAAGCTTTCAATGAGGCTCCATTTGAGGCAATTCAGCATAACAAAGGGCTCTGTGGAAATATTGATGGCTTACCGAAATGCAATTCTATCGGGAGCAAGAAACGCAATCGATACGTTGGAGCTAGAACCACAATAATCCTCATTCTCTCGTTCTTGGGGTTTCTCCTTCTCTCTTGCACCTTGATCATTCTTGTAATTGTCAATCATCATCGAAGAGGGATTATCAAGAGAGACAATGATGAGCAGGCAAATGAATTGGATTTTTTTCGAATTTTGAGTTATGATGGCAAAGTTTTCTATGACCGAATCGTCAAGGCCACGGAAGGATTTGACTCCAAGTACTATGTGGGTGAAGGAGCATATGGAATCGTTTATAAAGCCGAGATATCAGAAGGTCAAACGATTGCTGTGAAGCAAATCTCTTCATCCCAGGAAGATAGTGAGATTGTTGATTTGATACCATTTGAAAGGGAAATTCAAGCCTTAACAAACTTACGCCATCGCAACATCGTGAAATTTTATGGATTCTGCTCTCATGTCCAACGGTGTTTTTTGGTGTATGAGTACATGGAAAGAGGAAGCTTGAGAACAACTTTGAACGAGGATGAAAGAGCAAAAGAATTTCAGTGGGACAAGAGGGTAAATGTGGTCCGAGGAGTTGCGGATGCATTGTCCTATATGCATCACGAATGTTCACCTCCATTAATTCATCGAGACTTGACCAGTAATAACATTCTATTGGATCGCGATTATGACGCTCATGTTTCTGATTTTGGCACTGCAAGGCTATTGAGGCCAGATTCATCAAATTGGACTAATATTGCTGGCACCATCGGGTATATTGCTCCAGGTACTTCGTCATTTGTTGAATTTCGATGGGCATTTAGTTTTGGATATCCATTCTATAATCGAACTACCACTAGGTTCTTTAGTTATTTAATCTTCTTATGGAAATTAGTTTACTAATTTAGAGCTTTCAAGTTCAAAGTTGATCAGAAAGCTTCAACGATTTCCCCGATAAGGAAGAGTTGGCAAAAATGCGGAAAAACATCATAAGCGATCCATTTCAAGTATATTAAGTTTGTTTGACCTAAATGATGCTTGTACTTTAAGCATCAAACAAAATCAATTTTGTAAGTTTAGACTAAATAGAAATTTGTACTTGTAATCATCACGTTTTGGGAAGCAATGTTGTCAACATGAATACAGCTTGTGATCGAGCTTTTAAAAAAATATATGATTTCTCCACTTGCAGAGCTGGCTTATTCTACAATTCCTACCGAAAAATGCGATGTGTATAGTTTTGGAATCGTTGCATTAGAGACAATCATGGGAAAGCATCCAGGAGATTATGTCTTTCGGGAATGTTCATTGTTTACCCAAACTGAGTCGCCGATGCTGTTGATGGATGTGTTGGATCAACGTCTCTCACCTTCTAGACTTCAGCTTCAAGAGGCACAAGACGTGGTCTCGATCTCCAAGCTAGCATTTGCGTGCTTGCAAACCGATCCGCGGCTTCGACCGACCATGGCACAAGTCTCGTGTGAGCTTCGCGTTCAAGTACCCCTGGAAATACCACTCTCTGCAGTCAACTTAGAGCAACTTCGCGATCTTAGTGTAAGGAAATTTGGAGCATTCGCAGTAGATGGTGAGTTTTGAATTTACTTTCCACCTGTTATTTTGTTTGGTTCGAAATAATGATGACCATTGCCTTTTAAATATCTTCTTAGTTCTCAATCATCCCAACCATGTGATTTATGATTTTCACTGCAAAGCCAGCTTCTCCTTGAACGTTACAGAAAAAGTGCAATGTTTATTGTTTAGAGTCGTGGCACCATAAATAATAATGGGAAAGCTTCTGGAGAGATCTTATTTCACAATTATTTAGAATTTTTTCAGAGCAATTAGGAAGTAAATTTGCAAAATGCATTGGATCGACATCTATTGCCCTAGATGTAAAGCCCATGTAGTTTTTGCTTCTGGAAGAGATAATGATACTAGTTATCTGTGAAATTTTATCAAAGTGCAATATGTGAACTTTTAGTTTATTCAATTAAATCACTTTTGACTATATGAGCATTACCATCTCGGAACTTTCAGTTGTTTCAATTTCATACTACAATTAGATCTAACTAATTTCCATATTCAAAAAGCATAAGTTGTACATTCAAACTTATGGAGCCGTTAAACAAGTAAAACTGGACAGATTTTATAATTTCTTATACAGAATCCATTCTCACTTCATTAAGCGTCAAATTTTAGCGTCTTTGAACCATTCTAAATTGACGTTTACTTCAAGCCCATTTCATTATGATAATTGGGTAATGAGAAGATTAACCTGACTGTGTGTATCTTTACCATTTAAATTGTTGTCAAACCTGTCAAAAGCTGGAGCTGGTTTCAGCATCATCCCTCTTCGGCTCCGCACTCATTATCGCCACCATTGCCTCTACATGTTCGCTTCGTGAAGGTGCCTAAACTTTTCGTAACTCCTCGTCGTTGGACATGTGGGATTCTGCGCATCTCTCTTTCCCGTCTCAATGATTGTCTGCTGGTAGACTTTAAGCTAAGAAATTTCACTTACTCCCGAAATTTGAAAATCTGGACAGCAACAAAAGCAATTAAATTCAACAAAATCAAGAACTCTCGCTCTTCTTGAGACCTCTACCACCAAGTTACTACACAAAGACACATCATTTTGCGACAGAATCGATGAAGAAATTTCCAAGGTCAGCACCCAAAATCACGGATGCAGCAATTCAGCGATTCTCCCCTCTAACCTGATCCAAATTTGGTTTCACTTTTCCTTCCTTGTTTTCTCTAACGGCCGTATAAGGGGGAAGAGGACGACTTGATGGATTGCCGCTTGTCACTTTTCTCCACTAATTTTTCGTGCCATATAGATTGGCTGGCCACTTTAACTTGGATTTAAAAACAATTTGCAGTTTCTTTCTTTAGGACTCTAATTGCTACAATTATTGTTACTTTGGGCCCGCAAGTTGTAAAATACCCGGGCCGCTTATGCAATTTCCAAACGAGTTTATTTAGGTCCTACGTAGATGAAAAATCAATTTCTATCTCATTCGTGCACTTATCATCACAACCACATAAGACCTCGATTAAGCATCGACGTGCCATTCGGTGTTAAATTTTCGGATATTACACTTGCATTGTATATAGACAGAAAACAGCCCATCTATATCTATACCAAAAACGTGAAGGGCCCTAGCATCTCTCAGTCAAACACGGATACTTGTTTACGAAACAAAAATGTCTATATCAGCGCCGACCGTGTCACATACGACGGTTGACATCCACGTTAGCGATTTTCAGTCAAAATTAGCCGGATGAACTCAATTGGCTAAACGTAAAAAAAGTTGAGGACTCAAGTGGTATAATTAAAAGGCTTGAGATTGAATTAGCACAAATGCAATGGATTTAAAACTTTTTTGATAATTCTCCTAGTGAATATGTGCGTGGGACTCCAAAATAGATTTTGAGGCTTACAGTGTCATCTGCTGAATCTTTATGGGAAATTACACGAGTCTACCTTTCACGTTTTTCTTTTCTTTTAAATATTGTAAGAGCAAGAATTGAGCAAGAAGAAAATCACAAGCCATGGTTGGGTAGAGATAAGGTGTGGCCCCTTCTCCGCACTTGATGGAGAATAAAGCCATTAACTATCTTTTTTTGTCTTTTGAGGTTTCTTTTTCGAGCTACTTTTTGCTTCTTTACCCTTTGCCACACAGACCGATAAATCAGAAAATAACTAACCGTTACTTTTTTACTTGCCCCGTGAACGCGCATCGAGGGAAGTAATTAAAACATTACTTCAAATACTTAAAGAAAAAATAAAAAGAAATATCCTGTGTGAAACAATTGAATAGAAATTACAAGTAATTGTCGAGATGACCCTTCTATGGGTTTTTTGTTTAAGAACCAAAAAACTTACAATTGGATTTAGATTACTCAAGAAATAGAATTCCTTAAAAGATATGGAATTTGATTACCTAGGCTCGTCTAATATTAACATTTTTTTTTGGTCGAACGTCTAGTATTAAGATTCAACAGCCACCAATTATAGTGAAATTTATCAAAGGGCCACTCAATTTCCACATACACTTTGGCTGGATACACAGCCTAATATCGTCAATTGAGGGAAATACCGCTTCACAAGCTATCAATTTTTGCAAACTCAGCTTCATCTTCGAGTCCCTTTACCACCTCCCATCTTGCGCTCTCTGGCATCAACTCTTTGAGAAAAAGAACACATCCCATTTCATTTTTCGGAAATGGTTTGTGTCTATTCAAATGCTTTCATTACTGTCAAATTGAAGAGTTCTTGAAAAAGCCAATGGATCAATGAGTGAAAGAAAGAACGATCTCACGAGGGAGAAGGGCAGTTTAGAAATTTAAGCACTATACTGTTAAGAGGCTCGATCCCCGGTCATTGCACTTGTGAAACTAGCACAACCCTTTCGCAAATTATAAACACAAATCTAGAAATATTTTAGCAAATTAAAAGAAAATAAGCAAAACCGGAAGCAAAACATACCCATACAGAACAGGACGTCCCCTGCAGTGGACCAATGGCAGACCAACACCGTTAACGACGGAGCCGAGCCCCATCGCCTCAGCCATGGAGTCTGCCGGCTTTGCGCGGCCACAGATTTGAGGTTGTGCAAGGAGCACAACCTCTGCCGGAGCAATGTGTCCACGGGTCTGTCTTCGTCGCTCCAAAAATCGAGTGAATCGACGGAGCAAAGCTTTGAGACCGTGGCCACGGAGGTGGCCGGCCCTCACTTTATGTTGGGATTTTGGAACCAAAATCCCATAAAATTGAATGAGAAGTGTGTGGGTGAAAGTGTCCCACATAGGGTAGAAGAGAGATGGGAGATGGGTTCAAATAGTTGAGCCTCACAAATGGGTTTGGGCCCCAAGGGGTACCCCACGAACCGAACCGGTTCAAGCGAACCTTCGCTACTATTCACGAAAACTCGCGACTCTTCATTTTTCGTCACTTGAATAAGACCGAACAGTTTAGTTCGGAATATAAATATCACTTCGTGGCATTCATTTTTTCCAGACGCACTCTACGCATATTCACTTCATCATTGTCATTTGGTGCGATTGTTACGCAAAATTGCGTTCGTTGGAGTCCTCCGAATACGTACCGCTTCGGAGGAACGAGATCCGTTCTATCTGGGAGACGATTGTCCAATATCCTCGGAGTGCGATTGAGGGGCCAAATTCGTCTTAAGGACACGACGTTAATTCGTTGGGCTCGGATCAACATTCCGCTTTATTTGGTTGTCTTGCTTTCGGGTTAGTTTTTCCTAACGTTTGATTTTAATTTCTGATATACGAACTTAGCCGAACAACAATCTTAAGACGAATTTTGCTTCGGTTCTGTTCGTATATTCTTATGCGTTGTTCATATCAAATATCATATTGCCATTTCTTTAATTCGAACTTTTGTATAGTTCGTATGTTCCTTGTCATATCGTATAGAATACGATTCTATTTGCACATTCTGTTCGTTAACGAATTTTTTCGAATATTGTTCATATTAGAAATTTTCAATTACATTCGTGAATATGGTATGTGTTTATATTTCAGAAATGGCTTCGCTTCGACTTCGGTTAATCCTTTCCGAATCACGGAGAAAAGCCAGAAAAGTTCAATGGTACGGATTTCAAGAGATGGCAACAAAAGATGTTGTTCTATCTCACGACCTTGAACTTGGCTAGATTCCTCAATGAGGATGGTCCTAAATTGGACGTTGGAGAGACAAATAAAGAAAAGCTTGCTGCTGTGGACGCATGGAATCATTCTGACTTCCTGTGTCGCAACTATGTCCTCAACGGTCCGGACAATACTCTACATAACGTATATAGTCCGCTAAAAACGGCTAAAGAGTTATGGGATAGTCTGGACAAGAAATACAAAACCGAAGATGCCGGATTGAAGAAATTCATTGTCGGTAAATTTCTGGACTTCAAGATGGTTGATTCAAAGACCGTCTTAAGTCAGGTTCAAGAGCTTCAAGTGATTATGCATGATATTCATGCTGAAGGAATGACTCTAAGTGAGACATTTCAAGTGGCTGCATTCATTGAAAAATTGCCACCATCCTGGAGAGATTTCAAGAATTATCTCAAACACAAGAGAAAGGAGTTGTCACTTGAAGACTTGATTGTTCGGTTGAGGATAGAGGAAGACAATAGAAATTCCGAAAAGAAAGTTGGCAGCAATTTGGCGGTCTCAAGGGTCAATGTTGTTGAAGAAGGATCAAAACCCAACAAGAAGAGAAAAATGACTAGCAAGTCTGGAGAGGGATTCACCCAAGGCCTGAAGAAGTTCGTTGGCAAGTGCTTCAACTGTGGCAAGTCTGGACATCGAGCCAAAGACTGCAGAGCCAAGAAAAGACAGAAAACTCAGGCTAATGTGGTGGAAGAAATTTCCAATGGTGTTGATGATATCAATCTAAGCGCCATGATATCCGAGTGTAATATGGTGGGAAATCCCAAGGAGTGGTGGATTGATCTTTGGAGCAACTCGTCATATTTGCGCCAATAAATCAATGTTCTCATCTTACATGCCTATGGAAGGTGATGAAAAACTCTACATGGGTAATTCATCGACCTCTAAGGTTGAAGGTGTTGGAAAGGTTGCTCTAAAGATGACATCTGGGAAAGTTGTGACACTAAATAATGTGCTACATGTGCCAGACATACGCAAGAATTTAGTGTCCGGATCTCTTCTTAGCAAGAATGGCTTCAAGTTGGTTTTTGTATCCGATAAGTTTGTACTCTCCAAGAATGAGATGTATGTAGGAAAGGGTTACCTCA